GCTGGAGGGAGAAGGCTGAGTGAGTCTGTGCCACTGGGTGCCCACCGGGTTGCCCCGTGGCCATGCCCAGGCCACCCCATTGCCACCTCAGGAAGCCACAGAGAAAGGCACAGCCAGGCTACAACCGCCAAAGACAACTTTATCCTCCCCGGGCTGGTGCAGCCAGCAGCAGGAAAATGAGAGGCAACACCAATCACAATACAGTCTCAAGCAACAGTTTTTTCCCCTTCCTAAGGAGGATGAGGAGGTAGCGAGGGCTGCTGAGCCCCCACCCTGCTGACGGAAGCAGGGGAGGGCGTCTCCGTGCTCACCCCCCCCGGCCCTGCTCCCCTCCCAGTGCAGGGACCAGAGCACTGGGGCCGGTTTCCAGCTGGCCCCACGTTGCCCCAGCTTCCCTCTCCCCCCCTTGGCAAAGTGGGGGGCACTCGGACATGGCCCAACCACAATGAAGGACAGACCCCCCCTCTGAGACAGTCATGGGGACAGGATGGCCACAGGGGCCAAGAGCTGCCTGAGTACCCCCCATCCCATCTCTCCCCCACACCAAAGCAAGGGAAAGGGCCCAGAGGTGACACCCTCCCTGGGGTACTGGGGGCTACCACTTCCAGTTCATCACCCAGAGAGGCAACAACCCAGCAGCAAGCACCCCCACCAGAGGAACACACCCCCTCCTCCCTCCCCACCCCTCTCCCACCCCCACCCAAGCTCACTCTTAGGACACAAATACATAAAAGCCCCCCCCCCAGCTCTCCCCAGGCAGCCCTGGTTCCTCTGCCCCAGTTCTACAGTGCCAGGACGCCACAGTGCTGGCTGGTGCCATGGGTGTGAAGGCAGGGGAGAGCACATGGCCGGGCACCCCGCGGTCTGAGCCGCCCTCAGGAAAAGTGAGGGCAGGGGGGCTCCGGTGCTCCCCCCAACCCGTGGGTTGCTGGCCTGATGCTGGTCTTGGCAGCCCCTCCAGGTGAAGAAAAAGAGTCACATAAGCCCACGGGGCTGAGGACGCCCAGCCCTGGGCTTCTGCTTTCTGTCTGGGGCGAGGGCAGAACGGGAGCAAAGGCCTGGTGGTCCAGAGTAGGAGCCCCCGGGCTCCACGTCACATGATTTCACAGCAGGAATTCTGCTTTCGGGCCTGGGAAGAGGAGGAAAAGCAGGATTGATTCTGGCTGCAGCTTGCCAAGGGGACCCAGAGCTGCCTGCACAGCCCTCCTCCCACCGGCACGATCCCAGCCCTCACAGTTCCCCATGAAGCCCCCATGCCGATGGCTCATGGCACAAATCTGACCCCCTCAGCCATTGCCACCCCCTGTGCCAGGAGCTGGCATCAGCATCACCCTCCACCAGCCACAGGGCCTGAGCAAGGGCTTGGGGAGCTCCACAGACAGAGTTTGGGCAACTGAGCTCCCTCCAGGCTGAAAGAAGCTGAGCCAGGGGACAGTGGTCCTTGCCTGGCACCCACATCCACTGCCCCAGGGGGTCACTCTGCCCTTCCCCAGCCCTGGCTCCTCCGGGAGGAGTGACCTTCCCCTGGATGAACTCTGCACTCACAGTTTTGTAGAAGGCTTTGGACTGCGCCCCAAGCACCTCCGATTTGGAGACCAAGTCATCCAGCTTCTCCCCTCGCTCCAACAGTGACTCCATGGTGTTGTGCTGCCAAAAGAAACCAGCACTGACCCACAGCCCTGGCACCCCATGCCGCCCCCCAGCTCCCTTCCCAGCCCCGAGCAGAAGATGGAGATGCCACCATGTCCCATTGGGGGAAAAGCCTCTGGGCCCCCCTATGCCCCAGCAGACATGCCCACTGGAGCATCCCGGCCGTGGGTGCAGTGTCCTCCTCACCAGGATTATTTTGGTCTCGTCCAGCTCCGCTTGCACTCTGGTCATCGGGTCGGCGTCACGGGGGTTCTTGGAGAAACAGCAGAGTGTCAGCACCACAGCCACAGGGACATCAGTGTCCCCCAGGCCACAGCACCAGTGTCCTGGCAGGCAGCGGATGTCACCTGCAGGGCCATACCTGGTATTTACTGAGGTACCCATCCAAGGCAGCGTAGCTGATGGTGGCCGGGGAGCCTGAAGGCCAGTCTATTTTGCTGACTTGCCTGGAGAATTCATCCAGCACCTGCAGCAGAGAGCAGCCCATTACTGCCAGGCAGTTCTGCCTGCGGAGCCACAGCTGGCAGAAGGGATTTTCCCCTCAAAAAAAGGAGATTTTCCTCCTCCTCCTTGTTCCCTTTTGAACCAGCCAAGAGAAGAGACAGAAATCAACTTCCTTGGCAAATGACCAACAGAGCAGTGCCCATGTATGGGGTGGCCATCCCCAACTGTCCCCAAAGCCCTGTGCCTTACCAGGGTGGCCAAACACATTATCACTTTTTTTTGGCAAGGCTGGGAGTGCAGCTGCACTGTGTTTTCCCCACATAAAACCCAAGGCAGACAGGGAGGACAGGGTGTTTGCAAGGCCAACACCTGGGCTGGCAGCAGAAGGGAGCTGCGACCAAGTCCTGGCCTGCAAAGCCAAGTCACTGCACGGCTTGGAAGTCTTTGGGCTGGCGGGACCCAGCTCTGATGTCCCCCAGCTGACGAGGAGGAAACTCATTTCCTTGCCAGAGTGTGAAAGGGAGATGTGGAGGAGCTCCTCGGATCGGCCTCACCACAGACTGTCACCTCCAGAGCCACTCCTGGCCCTGTGCACTCACCTTGTCCAGCAAGGTGAAGCAAACCCGCTGGGGATACTCATTATCTGCAATCACCACACCGGCCAGCCCATCGTTCCGGACGTACACGTGGCAGAGGTACTCTGGGCAGAGAATTCATGTCAGAGAGGCACTGGGAACATCCAGAGCCTCCCCGGCACCCGCTGCCTTTCACCCAGCCCCAGCAGCTCTTCCATGACCAATGAATTGCCCTGGAAAGTTTCATTCAGCTACCACACTTCATGTGATTTCATTAGGAGAGTGGGAAGGGCTCAAGGTAGGATCAAAATCAGCCCCAAATTGTGCTTCAGTGGGTTATTTCAGCCTGGCCACGTGGTGCGGGACACGACGCTGCCTTTCCAGGGCAGCAGGTACTGCCAGAGTTAAACAAAAACCAGAGGGGAAGTGCTCAGCCTGATTTTAATAAATAACAACTTGTCACAAGCTTGGAGTATCATTAAAGAGGCCGCGGTGGCCAGCTCCAGGCCGCACCCTGCGTGTCTCAGAAGGCACACAGAGCGGGGCAGGGAGGCTGCAGAGGAGGCCAGAGATCGGGGTGCAGAGCCCAGACTCAAGGCAGAGCTCAAGGGAGAAGGGGATGGGGGCTGTGCTGGCACAGCCGCCCCATGGGGGACAGGGACCACGGCTGCCACACGGGCCGGGGATGGGACAAACAAGGCAAGCCGTGGGGCAGCAGACAGCTCCGAGCATCCCAAGGGCGGCAAGGAGGGTAATGAAGCTGCAAGGTGGCGGCCAGCTGCCAGGCAGGTCCCTGCTCCTCCCACAGCCTCTCAGAGGCAGGCTGGGCTCTTGCCCGGCTCTGCAGCCTCATACCTTTAGTGTTACTTGCCCAGGTGCTATTGTGAGCTCTCCTTTTTTTTATCATAAACGGATAAGGAACGAAACACTTGCGGCTGCGTGTGCTGACCCCAGGTTATTCTCCTACCTTGTTCCTTGACAGAGGCTCTGCTGCCCAGCTCCGAGCGCTCCACGATCAGCTGGCTCGTGAAGGTCATGAATTCCTGCACACTGCAAACACAAAGCGTCAGCACTCGAGCCTGTGAGGGGACCCAGGTCTGCAGGAAGGGTGCTGGCACTGCGACCATGGGGGAAATCATCTGTCCCGGAGGTCCCTGGCATTTTAGGTGGACTGAGACCCCTCCCCATGACCCTACCATCACATGTGGGCAGCAGGGATGTGGCTGAGCCATGGGTTTTCCTCAGGGAAGAGGCCAGACCCTACACAGAGCTGCAAACACCCAAGCACCTATGTCAGGCCCGGGGGAGCGCCCACACCTCTCTGGTCACAGCGAGGGACTCACATCCTCGGGTGGAATTTGCGTTTTGGAGATTTAGCAGAAAGTAAAATGCTGTTGAACTGTGGATCCCCCCTGACGAGGGGCTGCAGGAGCACTCCATCCCCTTCCCTCCCCTCAGCTTTTATCCCATGATTGGGATGATTTACCTAAATCCCATGCAAGGTACTGGGATCTCAGGGAGGCTGCTCAACCTGCAAACACCCCTCAGCTGCCTACCACTTTGGGTGAAAATTAAGGAACAGCCTTCAGCCAGACTCGCTCTAAATCTGGGAAACATTCCTGAGCCCAGAGGCGAGTCCTGCTAAACAGGCTGCTTCTTCACCCCACAGGACAAGAGATGCCAAAAATCATGAGCGAGTGCAAAATAAATCCATTCCCAATGCACACCATCCTGGGCACATTGGGATTAAGGAACACAAGGCGAGACATTCCCCACTTCAGCTGGGAAGTCCCAGGAAGGGAAACCTGCTCAGACAACAGTTTGCTCAAACACCCCCACGCTGACAGCTCCTGCTCTGGAGCTTCACATGACACAGCACTGATGAAACGTCAGCAGACTCCGGCCCGGCAACAGCCTCAGTTCCCTCACTGCCTTCCACCACTGGACGCAGCCCCAGACAGGGGTTTGCCCCTCACAGTTTAACATATTCCTTCCGAGTCTTGCATTTCTCCCAGCCCAGACATCGGCTCCAGCACGACTCTGAACAGCTTCCAGGCTCTGCAAAGGAAAGACTGGCCCAAAGATTTCTTAACATCCATTGGCAGAAAGAGAGGGCTGACATGTTCCCCCCTCCCTGGGGATCTGCTGGCAGCCATCGCAGCTCCAGTATTTCACTGTATTCCCAGGGGAATCTCTCACTGAAGATTTCATTTGCTCACACCGCGTTCCCAACCCTCCCAAATGGCCTGGCAGAGGTTGGAGGGCAGACGCCGGGCCCCATCCTCCCCCCCAGCAGCTTCTCACCGCTCCCCAGAGATACAACTGTCTGTATTCCAGATTCAAACCCCGAACTCAACTCTCTGGTAACTCCACAGCCTCAAAATTGTACATGTTGCATTTTTAACACAAACTTAAATTAATCACATCTTAAATATCATACATAGGCTGCACTCCCAAAGGAGCTGAAGCACAAGAAACCCCTCTAAGCACAACCGGGCAACCAGCTCAGGACAAGAATTAGCCACGAGAAAAGCTGCAAGACTAACGAGCACAGCCATCCCCTCACCCTCCACAAAAGGCATCACTGTTCCCAAAAAGCCACGACTTTTTTCAAGCAAAGAAACAACCAGCTGCTGGTGAAGTGGCTCTTTCAGCCACAGCTGATGGCAAAACCAGGCAGGGAACAGTCTCGGGATTTGGAAAACTGAGAGCTGTGACTACAAAGCCATTTGGGTTTCTAGGATATTACTTCACTCGTCGCAATCCATCTTCAAGCATGTGTGTTGGCAGCACTGGCAACAGCTCTTCTATCCCTCTCACACATTTGGCTAAAAGAGTATTTTTTAAGACAATCTTACTTCAGTATTTTCCCTTTATCACTGGAATTGCAGAACCAAATGTGCTTGAGGCTCTGTAGAATCTTTGCACGGACAGGGAATGGAAAATTTGAGTCCTGTAGGTGACTATTTCCTAAAGCCTTTATCATCTGCAGCCAGGGGATGGGAAACAAGCTATTTCACAACCAGCACTCACTTTATTTTACTGCTTTTAGAGGCTTTTGGGAGCTCCCATCAGCTGCAAGTGCAAGGGCAGCTGCTGAGAGCTCTGTGACCCCTCTGTGCCCACAGAGCAGGACACCCCGGAGCCCAGATGGGTTTTCAGGGCTAAACTGGTCACCCAAACCTATCAGAATAACCCAAGCGGAGGTTTGTGGGCTGGGAAAAGTTTACGATTAAACCAAACACCTAAATAAAAAGATAGCAGAGGTGTCAGGTGAGCCTTGGTTAGCCTGGCACAAAGACAAGCCTCCTCCCACTCACCTCTCACACCCCAGGAGCCACCGTGACTACCGAGTTGAGGCACTTGCTGGAGGGAGAAGAGCTGACCCGAGCACTTGGGGTGTTTCCCCACACCCAGATTTTATCCTTCAGTGACCGATTTACCAAGTCAAACCTGACCTCCTGCTGCTGGGCCTAGGCGGCTCGTGGGGAAAAATGGGGTTTCACTCTGTTCCTGAGGCTGGAAGAGGGCTCAAAGTGGATTTTGCAGCACTGAACTCCACACGCAGGGTCCCAGCTCCCCAGGGGAGCACCTCTCAGGGGGAAGAGGTTATCCCTTAGGAGAATCCTGTTCCCGTCACCACTGCATCCCCGGGGACACGGGAGCAGAATAAGGAGAAAAACCTCCAAGAAAGGGGGGTGATTCTACTCTCCGAGCTCCTGCCTGAGCCATGTGCCAGCCCCGCAGCGCACAGGGGAGATGACCCCCATCCCCCCAGACACCCACCTGGACCTCTGGAAGAAGTTGAAGGTGGACACGTCATAGGCAGCTTTCAGTAAATGCACTTTGGGGTCTCCTTTGTAAAGGACACTTAGGCTGTAGAGCCTCATGGCGGTGGCTCGGCTGCCCTGGGCTGGGGAAGAACGCCAAGGGTGAGACCGGGCCCAGGAGCCACCGGCAGGACCCCCCGCACCTGGGGGCCTCGCCAGTAACCCCCCTCCCCGCACTGTGGGGCCTCGCCGGGAACGCCACCTCCCCCCAGCGTAACCCAGTCCCTCAGCCCAGTACCTCCCAGCGAACCCACCCCCTCCCTCCCCAGCATACGCACCCAGCACCCAGTGTAACCCACCTGGCCCGAGCCCCTCCTCTCCAATATAACCCAGCCCCCCCCCCGGTACAACCCAATAACCCAGCCCCACCCCAGCGGTACCGGGGCTCCGGCACCGGCTGTAAGGAGGCGGCGGCAGAGGGGAAACTGAACCCCACCCGGAAGCAGAACGGCAGCAGCCGGAAGTGACGCCACCCCCAGCCACTGCCACGGCGCCTCCCTCGCCCTGCGCACGCGCCAGCTCCGCCCCAACCGTCTTGACCAATAAGCGCCTGGTCCTCCCTCTGGTCTCGCCCACTGCCACGGAGCGGCCAATCAGCGCCGTTTCTGGCGCTACGGGGCGGGGCTTCTCCCGCAGCACCTCCAGCAGGGGGCGCTCTGTCCCGGCGTCCCTTGCGCGGCGGGGGCCAAGGGGCCGGGGGCCGCAGTGGTGCGCTGGGCGGGGGCGGGCCTGGCCATGGAGCTGGGCTGCGCTGTGGCGTGGGGAGTCACCTGTGGGGCGGGGACCCCTCTGTGGGGCTGTTCTGCCCGTGGATGGGGACCCCTCTGTGGGCCGAGGGCCCCTCTATGGGGTTATGAGCTCTCTGTGGGGTGAGGACCCCTCTGTGGGGCGGGGGCCCCTCTATGGGGCTGGCTCCCCCCCACTCAGGATGGGCTGGGGTAGGGATGCCTGGGCCTTCAGGGTGGGGATGAGGCGCTGTGGGGTGACCCCCAAACCCTTTGCCCTCCCCACAGCCTCCTCGTCCACCCATGGGGCTGCCAGCACCCCTGGCCCCTTGGCCTCCATCCAGCCTTCCTGGGGGACCCATCCTGCTCCCTCCCCGGCTCCATCGCTGAGAGGATGCCACCACCAACTGATACCACTTTGGGGTTTTTGGGGTTGGTTTGGGGTCTTCCCGTGGGCAGGAGCCATTAGGGTTCCCCACGCCTTGGGCTCTTCCCCTTTGCCCATCAGGGACCCCCATGTTTCCCCGATGCTTGGCTGATGGCAGCAATAAGGGGTCATGGCCATGTCCCCATCCCCCAAAACCAGCCCCAAATCTGCCATCGGTCCTGCCACTGCCAGAGTGTTTCCCATCCTGGGGACACGGAGCACTTCCCAGTCACCCTTGCCCTCAGCCAGGCGGCTGTCACCTTTGTCATGGAGCCACCGACTGCTCCAGCCGCCGCCGTCGCCATGGGAGCGTGCCGGGTTGCTAAGCCGTCCGGTGGAGTGCTTGCCACCGCCGCCAGCACGTCGAGCCGTTGATATGACAACTGGAGCGGGGACACGGATGGCCCGGGGCGTGGTGCTTCGCATGACAGGGCCAGTGGCCCCCGGTGGGGAGGGGTGCCAGCCAAGCCTGGCCACCGCACCGGGACTTCCCCGCCAGCTGTAGAAACCCACCGGGGTGGCCTCGCCACCCCTCACCCCCGAAAACAATCCTGCACCCTGGTAAATAGATTGACCGTCGGTAGGAAGCGAGTGGGGAGAACGTGACCTGCATCCCTCCCCGGCACGAAGGATGTGGGGCAAAAGGGCTGAGCCTGCCAGAGTCCCAGGCCCCTCTCCCTGCCCCTCCGCTTGAGGGTCCGGAGCCCTGGGGGGAGAGGGGGTAGAAGATCCGGACCCCCCCCCTCTCAGCAGGTGCTGGAGAGGAGGCGGCCGCCATTGGCTGAGAAAAAGCAGCGAAAGTGGAGCATCCTCCAGCAGAGCGAGGGAGGGAGCAGCCCAGTGCCAGGACGGGGAAGGGGGCTGAGCGCCCCGGGCAGGCACGGCGGCGGGGAGCCCAGGGTCTGCTGGGGGGACGGCTCGGCCTGCAGCCCACCCCGCCCCGACGGCTGCCCCCATGCTGGATCACCGAGCCAGGATGGAGAGCGGCAGGAAGGAGAAGGTGAGGCTGCTGCCAGGGCCATCCCGGGGGGGGTGTCGGGGAGATGGGGTGGGGGGCAGCCGGTGGGTGCGGGGAGCGGCCATGGATCCTCCTGGAGCTGCCAGCCATCCCTGCAGCGAGCAGCTGGGCACCACGGGCATCTCCCGCTGGGCAAGGTGCCCGCTGAGGACGGAGGTCACTGGAAGGGGAGGACGGCTGGCAGGGGGAACAGAGGCTCCCCAGGCAAAGCCGTGCAGCCTGGGGTCAGCCCCAATGTGCCCGGGGGGCTCCCTGTCCCTGAGGTCACCCCTCAGCATGCTCCATGGAGGGGTCCCAGTGCCATAAGCCCAGGGTACTGTGTTTTGGTGCCACCGGGTGTTGGCACAGCAGGGGCCATGCCCTGTCCCCAGGGCACCGAGGACTTGGATGGAGCTGGGAGCATCTGCGGGACCGCACCAGCTGGGGGGATCCCGCTGCCCAGGCATCACCCCTGGCATTGTGCTGCCAGCCAAGTGGCTGCTGGCCCCGGGATGAGATGGGGCCCATCACCTCCTTCAGCTGGTCATCACTGTTGTCACCGAGGCACCCAGGAGGATGGCACCTGGCTTGTGCCCAGCCAAATATCGGCTGGGGGAAGCTGCTCCCATCTCCTCTTCCAGATGGATTGAGCTCATGCAGCCAGGCCATGGGGGAGGACACATGGGCTTCCCCACTGCAGACTGGGACATCCAAGGCAACACTGAGGGGACACAACATGTGCCAGGGGCGGGAGCATGTGGCTGGCAGAATTGGGCAACACTAGCCACAGCAGCCTTCAGCCACGCAGTCTCCAGCTTTGTCCCCTCTGAGGAATATGTCAGAGCAAGCAGTTTCCTCGGGAAGCCAAGAGTCGATTTCCGTCACATGGGAAGAGCTGGATCCCACCGAAGAAGAGCCAAACCCATCATTTTGGAGGCGAAAGAAGGGATGAGTTGGGGCACGTGGAGCCTGAGATGGAAAAACTGCTGGAGGAATAAAACTCAGACCTTCTACTGCCATCTTCGGGTGCCAGCCCCAGGGACAGGGACCCTCCAGTTGGCGTTGATGTGCCAAACAGCGCTGCAGAGCTGGCTTCTGCATTGTGGAGCACTGGATGCCTTCAGCCACCAATTCCAGCAGGATGGCTGAATCAAGCCCCACTCTTTTCCTGTCAGGATTTTTCTAGCCATCCCAGCCTGGACACCCTCGGTGTCATGGCCAACATCACTGCGGTGCTGCCTTGGGCTCCTCCGCCCCCTTTCCATGGTGGCCGGTGGCATTCCCCGGCACAGTGGTGTCCCCCCTAGTGCAGCCACGTCTTGTCTGATGGGTTAATGGAGCCCCTGGGCTTTGGCATTGGGACAGTGGGGACAATTGCTGGAAGGTGCCGGCATGCTGGGATCCCCCCCAGCCGGGGATAGGGGCTGCGGCCCCCTGGGTGTGAGGGCTCTGTGGGGCAGGCACTTTGTGGGGCAAGGACATGTTTCGGATGAGCCCCTGTTTGGGGACTGGAGGCTGAGGGACAGTGTTTGGGGCTGGGTGATTTATCGGGATGGTCTTGGGGGAAGTGGCTGAGTGGCCGCAGATTTGGCTGAGCTGAGGCGGTGGGTGCTCCAAACCACATCCCAAAGCCCTACCCCAAAACACATCAGGAAACGGCAGCAGCCTTGAGGAAAACATCCGTCCACTGGCAAAAGTGCCAGCGGGAGCGTTTTAAGCTTGCCCAGATCCCGGTGACTAATGAGCCCTCTAATGCCGCCGGCTGCATCTGGCCAAGCAGCGAGCACTCGCTCCCCCCAGCTCCATCTGACAGCCCAGGGCTGCCTGCCCCCGATTACGTGCCGTGGCTAATGGAGGCTGCGCCCGCGGTGGAGCCCGGGGTTGCTACGTAAAGGGTAAATACAGGTCCTGCCTGCCAGGCGCTTCCCTCGAGTGGGCCCTGCGATTCTCCCTGGTAGCGAGGTGAGGGAGCATTTCCCAATAATACTTTCTATATCCTGCCCATGGTCCTGCCTGCCCTTGGCCCCCGCTCGCACCAAGTTTGATGGTACCCGTGGCTCTTGGGGGGGTACAGAGAGAGAGATGCTCCCGGGGGACTGAGGAGGATGCAGCATCCTCATCATGAACACAGAGGGGTCCCATGTCCTCGGTGGGAGCCACTAAGCCCCTAAATGGCATCGCTGGAAGTGCTTCTCACTGGGAAAGACCCTGGGATATGGCGGGATGGGATGTCCCGGGTCACTGGTCCAAGCCCTGCTGGAACAGCACCAGCTTCTAAGCAACCGGCCGAGCTCGTGGAATACGAATTGGCTAAAGGTGATGGCACGGGGACCCCTGTGCCAACCACGGATGTCTTGCAGGCAGAGCCAGGAGAGGATCTGGGGACAGCAGTGGCTCGTGCTGGCCCTGCAGATTCACCAGTGTGTCCAATAAGTTGGAGGCAGGATAGTGGGGAGTTGGGATAAGGTGGTCCGGGGTGTCTGTGTGCTTAGGGAAAAACCAGGGTGAGGAGAAGGAAAATTTGGATTGTTTATAGCGGTTTGGGCCACCCAGGTCCCTGTCCCCAGCTGATGCTGTCCATCCTGCTGCAGGTGGAGCAGATCCTATCGGAGTTTCGGCTGAAGGAGGAGGATCTGAAGAAGGTGATGTACCGGATGCAAAAGGAGATGGACCGAGGGCTAAAGCTGGAGACGCACGAAGAAGCCTCTGTCAAAATGCTGCCCACCTACGTCCGCTCCACACCTGAGGGCTCAGGTACAGCGCTGCCGGGCTGGGTGGGCACCGCTCCCAGTCCCTTACAGTGTCACCGCTTCCCCGGACCCCACCAAGCTCAGTGCAGGAGTTCGAGACATCCCCCTGAACTGGTCACCTTGTGTCCCTGGCTTTGCAGAGGTTGGAGATTTCCTGTCGCTGGACCTCGGTGGCACCAATTTCCGTGTGATGCTGGTGAAAGTGGGCGAGGGGGAGGAAGGACAGTGGAAGGTGAAGACGAAACACCAGATGTACTCCATCCCGGAGGATGCCATGACGGGGACGGCCGAGATGGTGAGCTGGGCAGAGGGGGCATCGTGTCCCTTCCCATGTGGCCCTGTCACTGGGCAGGGGCACACTGTGCTGCGGTTCGGTGGGGATGGTGGCGCGTACATCTCCCATGCCTCCAGCTGGCAGAAGCCACGGGGTGGCAGGGAGGTGGCCACATTCAGGGGACCCATGGGGGGGATGGTGGCTGGCCACGGGCAGTGGGAGGATGGGGATAGCCCTTGGCGAAGGCTCCACCTCCTCTCTTCCAGCTCTTTGACTACATCTCTGAGTGCATCTCTGATTTCCTGGACAAGCATCAAATGAAACACAAAAAG